TACCTGTCCTCCAAATTCTAGCATAATTTTTATATATTTCTATAACATTTTTCAAAACAATGTAGTAAAATTAATCAGACTCCTTGTATCTGTTAAAATTATAATCATTCATTCACATTTATTGGTATTGACATTATCCCACCCAAGCTTCTAACTATCCTCAGAAGTGAATCCAGATTTAGTTACTGAATACTACCCAAGACTCAATTATTTGTCATGCCATATGAATTCTTGAGAATTGTTACTGTTTTCCATACATTCCCGTGGCATTCAATATCCTTTTTGTTACTTTATGTCGGTTATGAAAACCACATGGGCATAGGTGAGCATATACCTGCATCTTTCTCTGATTTTAGCTGGATTTCTATACTTAGTTTATTGAAACCCTCAGAAGGAATTACCAGTAAGAAAAAAGTAATTCAAGACATTAAAACTATTACAAAATCTAATCTAAAGTGACTATAATCTATGACAATATTTCATGAATAAAAATGTCTGAAATACAATTATAATCACATCAACTGATGATAATAGCGTAAAAAATCCCTGAAATAGAAATAAGTAAAATAGAAAACAATGATCCAGAGTTGGCAAGGGGAACTCAAAAAACAAGATGTTTTTGTTGTGATGACATATTATTTTTTATGAATTTAGCCAGTGAAACAAGTAAACTGGTTTAATTGTTTTTGACTAACATTATCATTATAAATTGCAATTGTTTAGATTTAGATTAGTCTGTAATTTATTCTGCTGTTTCGTCAAACAAATCTCATCTTTGGTTTTTATAAAGGAGATATGATATTTCATTTATAAAATCTGTTCATCATCCCTGTTCCATCATCAATCCAGGATGTCTACTCACCTTATTTCTATAGATATAAAAGTTTTAATAATGGTGGTTTTGAACGAGTGACAGTATGAGCTATATTCATGAAATGTTTGAATTTAAATGACAACAAATAGTATAGAGGAAACAAAACACATATTAAAATATTAATATCAGACAACTGTCTGTCTGCTGCTAGAAAAATTAACACCTTTACCGTAATAGAGTATGAACAGTTACATACCATTTGTTATTAGCAAATATGCAGCAAACCATGTATATATTTATGGTGTCTCACCTTTAGAAAACATTGGAAGGATATCTGGACTTCCCCAGGACCAAGTAAATCTACTTTGATTAAAAACAGAATCAAATTCCACTGGATTTTCCTTCCATCCTGAGAAAAAATAATTATATAATAAATTTCTTGTGAAGAATGTAGTGCAAAAATTTACAGCAGACCCCAAAATAACTGAGCAAGAAAACCACTATTTCAATATCCCTAGGAGCATTGTCTGCAGTGTTTTTTTGACTTGGCACTTTCAATCCAAACAAGCCAACATGCCTGGACACCAACTAAATTTACAGGTTTGGATTCAAAATGAAGTCAGAATAAGTGAATTATTAAAAAGCTGAATTATTGATTGTTATGAGTATTCTGTATTTGAACACAGTGAATTTTTTATTTGATTTCATTTCAAATACAAGCATCTCTGTCAAATTTAATGGGACTTTCTTTCAATATGCAAGTGAGTAGTATTAATTTCAAATTGTTAAAGTCACAAATACCACTAGCAATGTTCCTGGCAATATTGCTGAGCTACACAGGGAAGATGATGACATTCCTGTTCAGTTTACTGAATAACACAAACCTTGGCTCACTATGATAAGACATTACATTTTTAACACTCATTGTTAGAGTTTAAAATAGACAATGTTAAAAAATGACTGCCAGTCGGCCATTATGATCCATAGACTCAGATATACCAGAGTGGCCTAACATACATATGTGAACTACCATTGCCAAAGATTCATATTTTGAATCTTTGACTGAATTGGTTAATTTTTACCTTTTGCTACTGCACTGACGTCTTCATAGAATCCAGCAATCAGTGCAACATGACCAGGTCTTGACTCGGTTGGAACTCTGGTATGGGACACTCCCCATGTACCGCTGTTCTGTATGATATTTCTGAAGATGATACAAAACATTTGTTAAACTAATGTGAGTCAAATAAATTCAACAAACAATGATTAGTTTTGTAAAATTTTATTTCCAACATCGGATTGTA